GCATCTGATCGCCGCAGAGATAATGTCGACCACCGATGAGCGGAAGCGCGAGAAATTCATTTTGGACAACAAGAAGACCGTCGAACCGATGGTCAAACTCTTGGCCCAAACGGTGACGAGCGGTGGCGACCACTCGACCGCCCAATTGGCCCTCAACTGCATTCTCATGATCTCGTGCGCGGCCACCGATCGCCAGTACGACCCACTCCTGTGTGAGGCCATCATCAACGAGACCCAGTTCATAGTGCACACCATATCCGACATCATCACCGGTCACCGCGACCACCAATACTTTGGCATTTTGGTCAATCTAACCCGATATGAGCACAGCGTCCACGAGGTCCACAAACTCTGTCCCAAAGACTTCTTACGCAAACTCATGACTCTGTTGGACGCCAATGAGTTGGTGTCGGCGCTCATCACAAACCTCAGCCAATTAGAGGATGTCCGGCAAGCGATTGTGGCGGACGGGCGCGCCGTTTGTCAGCTCTTCGACGCCTACGAGCGCTCGAAGAGCCCGTCCGTCCGCAACGCCATCGTCTGTATCGTCAGGAACTGCTGCTTCGACACAGACCTACACCAGAGGCTGTTGGCCGCAGACAGCGAACTGCTCGTCAAACTCGTGACACCAGTCGCCGGTCCCGAAGAGCTGACCGCTGAGGACAACCAGAAACTGCCCATTGATTTGCAGTACTTGGGCTCCGATAAGACGCGCGAAGAGGACCCGGAGATCCGGAAGCTGTTGATGGAGTCGCTGCTGATGTTGTGCTCGACTCGGTTCGGGAGGGAAGCGATCCGTGAGACGAATATCTATATAGTTCTTCGCGAATACCATAAGTGGGAGAAAGTGCGCGAAGTGCAGAAGGCGTGCGAAGACGTGGTCGACATTATCATCAAAACCGAGGACGAGATCGAGGCCGACGACCTCCGGAAGGTCGACATTCCCGACGATCTCATCGAGCGGTTCAACCAAATGGACAAAGAGCTGGTCAAAGAAGACGAAGACGATTGACCACTGGTTCCCGTGTTTT